ATAACAGCCTCCTCATGGTTTTTCCCCAACAGCCTCCTCATGGTCCCCCCCCCCCCCCCATTTTGCAGATTATTAAAACACATTGTGTTGCCATCCAGGCTTGGCTCCCTGTGAAATTTTTCCACTCTGGAAAGAAAACCCTGGGCTAGTGGCCATGAGAGTGATTATACTTTCCTCTTCTTTGGAAAGCAACTTCAGGTAACAAACTTTTTGTCAGGATAATATGTAAAGTATGGCCCTGGCTGGTTTGGCTCAGTGGATAGAGCATCAGCCTGCAGACTGAAGGGTCCGGGGTTCGATTCGGGCCAAGGGCACATGCCTGTGTTGAGACCTGATCCCCAGTAGGAGGTGTGCAGGAGGCAGCTGATCAGTGATTCTCTCTCATTGATGTTTCTCTCTCTCTCTTTCTCCCTTCCTTTATGAGATCAATAAAGAAATATATATATATATTTTTTTTTTAAATATGTAAAGTATGTGGTACTAATCCTTGGTGAATTTAAAAGGACTTTTTTGTGGTTTCTGTATGAATGGACCCCCAATCCCATTCCTCTAAAATTTGGTTTGAATCTCACCTAGAATGGCCCAAATACTTCCATTTCACTTCTAAAATAGCGGTAGGACAAAAAATAGCGGTAAGAAGGGGGCTCTGGAGTTCAAGAGATCCAGACTGGAACCTAAACTCTTGTCCCTTCCGGTCTGTGTGACTGTGGGCAAGCCCCTTTCCTCTCAAAGCTCCATTTCCTCATCTTGGAAGTGGGAATAACACCACCACTTATCTCCCGGGCCTGTGAGGATTAAATACATTCTTCCATGTGAAGAGCCTGACTCAGAAACGTTTCTTCTTATTATTAGCTCATAATTCTTTAAATGGGGATCGCCAAAGGGTTCGTTCGAAGGGATGCACTGAAAGCCTCTCCAGCTCTGTTTCCTCTTATTCCGTTATGTGATGGGCTTTGGGGAAATCCTCACAGAGGCGGCCTCTAGTCCTCAGAGCTTGCCTCGCGCCCTAGCGGCCAGCGCTGTAGAACCTTGGACAGCTCCACTCCTCCTCCGCTGCTGGCTGCCTGAGGGTGCAAAAGTGCTTGGGGGTGGGATTTCCCCAGAAAGACTGTGTTAATGGGAGGGTTTAGGACCCACCAGGGCTGCAGTCTCCTGACACGCATGCCACTTGCACTCTTCATCTCAGGGAAGCGTCATATTCCTGCCTCCTGGAATATTCTGAGGGCCCTGGCCTCAGAAACCCAGTACGTCTACTCACAGATTTACTGAATCTTCAGGCCCTTTCCTTCTTTCTCTCTTGTGAACTCCAAGGATTTATTTATTTTTATCTTTATTTTTGAGCCCAAGAAGAACAGAAACACCACCCACATCTTCCTGTATCTGACGATATTTCATCTGTTTGGCTTCGGCACAAGGATGAAAGATTCCTGGTGAACTTCAAGTGAAAGTAATCACGTGTGAGCACGAAGAAAGGTCTCACAGGACAAGGAGACTCGGGTATGAATTAAAAGAAACATGAAATAATGGAGTTGCCTGCAGGTGGTGCCGAGCATCATTCTCTCATCAGAATAAGCAGGTGGTTCAATTTGTGAAATAATTTAGCTTTTCACTCTCCGATGCAGAACACAACATACAGTCACCTTCTGAGCAGGCAAGGAAGATATTAAGGCCTATTTTTACTTTATGATACTGAGTCACATAGTTCAATGCAAATCACATGGATGCCAAAGTAAGAACAATACCAGGTATTTAAATACCTCCGTTCCCTGGAGGAGCTGAAAAGACTTTTGTGGCTGTGTGAAATCCCTTTGCAGCGACTCCCTGAGAAGGGGCACTGTCACCAGGTGGGCATTTGAGATTGAGCTCATCTCATCCATCTCATCCATCTATCTCCCACCCACCCATCATCAGGCCTGCAAGAGCCAGTGTGCGTCAGCTCTTTAGGATCTCCTAGAATCTGCATTTTCTGGGCCACACTGCCAACCAGGAAAAGAAGGCTTATGTTTGAAAAAAAAAATATGTTATTGACCAATAACAGGAAGAGAAGAGCATAAATGTGAAATAGGAGGGGGGAAAGGAGAAAGAAATCATAGCGTGAGAGGAAGAAGCAGGAAAGGTGCTTAAAGCTCTCTGGTTTTGATAAATGTTTTCCGTGCATTTTTCCTCATAGATGGATTTGATGTCCAGCCCCAATGGGTTGGAAACATAAACAAAGGCCTTTATTTAGGCCCTCTTTAAATATTGCCCTGTGAGTTAGGACAGCAGCAGTCCCACTGCTAGAAGAATTAGCTTGAAGAAACTGCAGGCGAGCACATCAACTCAGGACTCCGGAAAGCAAACAGGGAGTCGGTCCCCGAAGAGAAGCCTTTGTAGTTTTCACCTAACAATGCACACACCCACCCTGAACCTCCACACCATTGGTTTAACTTCTTCCCAGCAGAGGTCGCTGTGGATACTGGCAATGGATACTTGAGAGTGGATGTGGCCGGGCTGGGTGGTGGCTCCACTGTCTAGTAACTGCTCTTCTTGTGGTTCCACTGGGAAAGGGGGTCTCCGGCAGGGATTAGATGAAAGCATAGCACCTTGGTCATAAAAGCACTATGAAACTGAGGTCGCTTGCTGGGAGTGGCAGGTCTTGGAGGGCTGTTCTCACCCTCTGGGGGTGTCTTCCCATAGTGGCACCTCGGTGTCACACCGGGGCCCACTCTGTAAGTGTGCCTGGCATCACTGAGAAGCCAGCTGGCACTGGCCAGCAACCCCACCCCATGGTCCTTCCAGACACGGAGGCCAAAGTGACAAAAGTTGCCTTGCTGCTCAGACTTGCACCCACTTATAAGGGACTCTGCTGATTCATATTCCCCAAACCCCACCTGGCAGCCTATGCCGGTGATGGGTGCAGAATTCTCCTCAGCCTGAATATTCTGAGGGATGTGGGAAGGGCAGGGCTCTGGTGAGGGTGTTAGGTTCAGACCTGAGACCCCCAAAAGGGCCCACCTTCTGGGTCACACCCCAGGCATGCAGGCCAGGCCCAAGGTGGCCTGAAGCTACCCCCACCCTGAGACATCCACTTGGACCCTCGTTCATGACTGCTGCTTGAGAGTAGAAGTGGAGACTTCCCTGCACTCATCCCTTATAGTAAGGCCACCAGGAAGGGGTTCGTCACACACACTCAGCCAGATGCCCAAGCTCACCATGACACCCACATGGACACTGGAGCCCTCATTTGTACATCCTACCCAGTTTACACACACACACATACACACACACACACACACACACACACACACACACACACACACACTGACCCATGCAAACACACTGTGACACCCAGAAACCCACTCAAACCGGGAACCAAATTTGACTTATCATGGCTGATGGCACGTGTTGGAGTGGGGGTGGGGGTCCACTCAGGATGTCCCTCAGGACCCTGGCCCCACTCAGGACTCCTGCACCGTGGACAAGCCTTCCCCGGGAGATGGAGTCCCCCCAACTGTCCACAGCCTTGTGGTCCCAGGTCTTGAACGACCCCCAGGAGGGGCCCTGGTGACCATCTCACACATGGCATCTGGGTGCTGGGCTGGCAGCGGGTGTGTGGTGAGGGTTGGGGGGATGGGGGGAGAAGAAGAGTGCGGGGATTGTGCCCTGCCCGGCTCCACCGCCTCCTCTCTTGGGATTTTCCATCTCTGCTCGCGGGCCTGCGAGGAGCGAGCGCTTTGTCTCCCGCCCGGCATCTGGCACGTTTCCGCGGAGGCTCCCCGCGCTGCGCCCGGAGCCCCCCCTCTCCTGGCCGCGCCCCCCGCCCAGCCCTTGGCGCAGGCCCGCCGGTGCGGCGGCCGCCGCTTTGTCCTCCTCCCGCCGGTGCGGGGCGGAGAGCGGAGCCCGAGCGCGGAGGTCCGCCGCGTGCCCGGGTGCAGGTCTCAGCGCCTGGTTTGGGGCGCACCCTGCGCCGAGGGGAGCAGCCCCGGGGTCTGCGTGCACCAGAGGGGGTGGGGGAGAGGAGATGGGGGGGGTGTCTGCCCGGAGCTCCAGGGTGCCTGCGAAGGGCCCGCCCTGACCCGCCCCGCACACGTCTGTCCGCCCGGGTCCAGCTCCCGTCGGGGGGCAGGAGCTCGGCCCCCGGGCGAGGTGGGGCGGGGTGGGAGGGTGGTTTCGACTTCGTGTCCCTGGCCTGCATCCAGGTAGAGAGAGAGGGCCGAGGAGATAAGAGCTGGGGGGAGCGGTCGGGAGGGTTCCCTCGATCCCTCTTACTTTCTCTCCCTCCCCCCCCCCCCCGCACCCCGCACCCCTCGCCCCCAGGCCATCCCAGCTTAGGCATCGGTGCTTTCCTGTACCCGCGAAGCCAAGCAGGTGGGGCGAGGTCCCCCGCCTTTGCCTCATACGCTCCAATCCCCTCTCCCTCAATAGCATAGGCGGGTCCAAGGAAGAGGGGGTGGGGGAGAGTCCCCTGTCTCCATCTATCCCCCCTTCACAAAACCCTGGGCTTCGGGGAAAAGGGTGGGCACGGGGAAGGGTCCTCCTGAACCCCACACAGCCCTTCCTCAATAACCCCGGGAGGGTGTGAGCAGAAGGCATCCGGTGGTCTCATCCATCACAGCCAGACCCCCTTTGTAGCCTGGAGCAGCCGAGGTCCTGCGGGGAAGGGTCCCTGCCTCCGAACCTTCCATCCTTTCCATCCCTTCCATCCTCAGCAATCCAAGCAGCGCGGAGACTTCAGACTCCGGGGCGGGAGGCTCCACGCTCCGGGCGCCCTCCGGAGAGCTGGGGCGGGGGGAGTGGTCCCTCAGCTTGCCCCTCGCACTCCAGAGCCCCCCTCCCACCGTAAAACACAAACTAACCCAAGCTGCTCCGACCTCAGGCGCCGGGCTAGAGGGAGGCCCGCGAGGAGCCAGCAGCTCTCCGGGACAGATGGTGTGGAGGGCGGCGAGGACAGGTCCCAGCAACTCCCCAGGCCCCCCCATTCCGTTCCCCAATCAAACAAACGCGAATTCAGCAGCACCGACCTCAGAGAGGCAGGAGAACAGGCAATGCCAGGCAATGCACCCAGCTCCCCGGGGCTCCCGGCGGCTTCCCGAAGGTAGTTCTCGCGGCGGCGGCGGCGGCGGCAGGCAGCAGGCGGCGGAGGCGGCCGCAGCTTCCGCGGCTCCAGCGTTCCGAGCCTCCCTCGGACTCAGCACCTGGAGCAGGGAACAGCTCCGCGCCTCATTCCGATGGCCCCGCCTCCCGGGCGCCGCCCTAGCCAATGGCGACCCGGGCCCCGCCTAAGAGGCCGCCCATTGGGGAGGGGCGCCTTCCCTCACCCTTCGGCTCCGCCCGAGGGTTCCTGGGTCTCTCTCTTGTCAAGACCACATTCCCCCAGAGACCGCCCACGTTGTCGCACAGCCTTCTGGAACTTGTAGTCCTTCGTGGACCCGGAGGGAGCTCCTGCCTCAGGAAGGTGGCCAGAGATGGACTGCATTTTCCAGGATGCATTGAAGAAACGGAGGCTCTGAGGAGGGCGGGAGGACTTGTTTCCATAGCAAAGGCGGCTGGTTGCAGATGGCTGAGGGGTAACATGGGAACCCTCGAAGGATGGTGCGTGACTTCGGGAGCCTCTCTTGGGAGGCCGGTTTGGATTCTTGTTTTCTCGTGGGTCCCCACCTCGGAATTCGTGGCCTTAGTTTTACTATCTGAGAAGAAGGCGTGGAGCCGGCGCCCCCACCGCCCGCACTCCGCGGTGATGGGGCAAATCCAGGGCCAGCAGCTTGGGTTTGCCCAACAAAGGTGAGAGAGGACGGAGGAGACCTTCCCACCACATTCTGAACTTTATCCCTTTTCTCTTTTTTTTTTTTTTTTTTTTTTTTTTTTTTTTTTGTCTCTATCTTGTCATAGAGGAGTATTTTTTATTTCTTTATTATTATTTTTTTTTACTCTAACGTTTGGACCATGAAAGCCTTCCTATTCCTGCTCCCCAGGTTCTGGCCTCCTTCACGCCAGATACCGCAGCGCCTCCCTGAGCGTAGCCAGAGGGCGCTTCTCCTGCTTAAAATCCTTAACAGGCTTTCCATTACCTCAGGCATGAAACCTACACTCCTCCACATCGTTTGAAAAACCCTTCAAGATCTGGATTCCACTTTCTTTCCCTCCCCCTCTTTAAAAAAAAAAAAAAATTTTTTTTAACCTTTGGCATCAGATATTCCCAGGTCTCTCCTCCAAGAACTAGCCAGGCCCCAACTCCTCCAAGAACTAGTCTCCCGAGATAAGGCGGGATCCCGGAGATAGGGCCTTACAAACGAATAAGGTGGCAGCCAGGACTCCACCTTATTGCAACAATGAACTTCTCCGCAAGCAGAGAAGCCCTAAGAACCCCGTTTTCTGTTACTCCCGTGGGTCCCTCCACCCTGCATTTAGCTAACTCCTTAGACTCTTCAAGCCCCAGCCCAGACGCTGCCTCGGGCATTAAGCCTTCCTAGATGCCTGCCTTTGTACGAGGTACCCCACTTTTGTTTGAGCTGCACCCTCTCCTTCCCCTGTTCTACTTGCCTGCTTATATACCTATCTTCCACATTAGATTATAAGACCCACAGAGCAGGGCCCATGTCTATATTATTCATACTTACATTACAGTGCCTAGCACAGTGGTAGGCACTCAATAGATATTTGTCATACATTTTCAAGTAGGCACTCAATAGATAATTGAAAATGAATTGAACTTTAATTGAATTTCACTCATGTCTTCATAAACTTGTTTTCCTAAGGTTGGGTGTTTCCCAGTGCTGGAAGTGTTCAACTAGAGGGAGGCCCTGTGTTTGGAGAAATGTTTATGTCATTCTTACCGTGGATTGAATTTTGCCAGAATGCTGGAGGGCCCTTCCAGTCCTTTGACACTAGGGAGTGATAGATTCATGCCTATTCCTTGGAAGTCCTATGAATTCTCTCCTAAATGTCATCAGTTCTTTTTATTCCTTTTTTTTTTTCCCCTCTGGTTAATGGCCCTTCTCCTTCCTGTGCCTAAATGCCTTACACCCCACTCCGCCTCTCTTTTTGTGAAAGATCTTCTGACCCGGAAGTAAAGACAGTCTGAGATTCCTGCCCATCTTTCAACCCTCTGTTCAGCTTCATGGGGCCTTGGTGGTGATGGTCCACCTAGCCACGTAGCATCTTTTCTGAATCTTTCCCCATTCAGGGCCCTCGTGTTGGCTAAATAGTCTAATTAATCCCACACATGCTTCATATGTCACTTTACCCAGGCATTTTGGGTGTGTTTCAGCCTAAAGCATTCTTGGGAGGATGCCTTAATATACGGGAATAATTCATTTGTGGCCAAAGAAGTATCCAAGAGGGACTAGTACCCTGAACCTGATTTAAACCAAAAAGACAGAGAGCCTGAGCAAAGGCAACTCTGTCATCCTTGAGTTGATGACACCCAGGGAAAGAAGGCTAGCATGAGGGAGAGAGTCAAATGAATGGCATGAGTCTGAAGAGGCATGGCAGAGGGACTATGATCCTGGGTGAACCATGAGGGAAAACCATTGGAGCTGGATGAATAGATGGGACTTCATTATTGAAGACAGAAAACTGGAAGGAGGCAGGGGCAAATGGGATTTGTCCTAAAGCCTGATTCTGTGGGTTCAGTGAGAATAGAGGCTGTTGGAAAAGTGGGTAAGGGGAGGACTAGGCCACAGGGCAGGCATCAGCCCAGTATCAGCAGCGGTCCTAGAGCCACAGCTGAAACTCTAGAGGTCGGTTTAGCCCTTCAGGAGTAGTACTAGTTTTTAGAAATTTGTTACAAATAGGGGGAAAGTTGGGTTCCACTGATTTTCTTAAAACTAGCATCTGCTCAGCCAACTAGCGTCAGGAAACCTGGATTCTAACTCCAACTTTGCCTCTGATTTCGTATGTGATCCTGGGCTGGACCTGTTTCATCAGTTGTAAAATGAAATTTATTGGTGTTAGGAAGCAGCTAATAAGGCTAAGGTGGGGGAATTCAAATCTATTTACTAGCTGTGTGGCCTTGCACAACCTTCTCAGATCTGCAGTTTGCTTACTTGAAAATGTTGTAATGGATAAATGAGATGGCTTATGTAAAACACTTCATCCATATCAAGCCACTTAACAAATATTAATCTGGTTCCACATTTTTTATCTTGTATTATCAGAAGTTGGTTTGACTGTGAATAAACAGGCAGGAATTAATGCCCTTGGAAATCTGGGTTCAAACCACCATTCTCTTGTAAGTTGTATGACTTTGGTCAGGTATATGCTCAATATATTTGTTTTGGCCCTACCCAGTTTGGCTCAGTGAATAGAGCATTGTCCCACATACTGAAGGGTTGTGAGTTTGATTCTGGTCAAGGGTATGTAGCTCAATTGCAGGCTCCATTCCCAGCCTGGGTTGGGGTGCATACAAGAGGCAACCAATTGATGTGTCTCTCTCACATCGATGCTTCTCTCTTTGTGTCACTCCCTTTCTCTTCCACTCTCTCTAAAAATCATTGGAAAAATGTCATCGGGTGAGGATTAACCAAAATATATACACTGAGTGGCCAGATTATTATGACCTCTGAACATATATATATTAGAGGCCAGGTGCATGAATTCATGCATGGGTGGGGTCCTGCCAGCCTGGCCATGGGGAGGAGACATAGGCAATTGGACAGCCTGCCTGTTGGTCTAGGGGACAATTTGCGTATTAGCCTTAGGATATACACTGAGTGGCCAGATTATTATGGGTTTAGTGGTCATAATAATCTGGCCACGCAGTGTATATTTGTTTTGTTATCTTTTAGAGGTGCTTTAGAGCAGGGAATATTAAGAGAATAGAATTCTAGTTGCTTAGAAGCTAGAGTTGCAAACTTTGTTAGAGGGGTAAAGGTCTCAGTAAAGTTCTATAGGTCTTCTAATTAAGGGTATTAACCAGAATGCTGAATCTCAGGCATGGGGTTGGAATGATTAACCAGGGTTGGGTCCCAAAGAGCCTGGTATACCAGACTGAGGAATATAATCTATAATAATAAAAGCATAATATGCTAATTAGATCAGATGTCCTTCCAGGTGACCTTCTGGATGAAGCCAGGTTTGCAAGGGAAGCTCAGGTCCCGGACACCAGAGGGAAACCGGTATTGGCAGCCAGGGGAAGGAAAGCCTACTCTTACACAAATTTCATGCATCGAGCCTCTAGTATTATTCTAAAGATAATGAAGGTTTTTAAGGAAATGTGCATTTTGAAAAAGGTCTAGGGCCTGTGTGGAGAAAGGCCAGAAGATGAGTCTGGGATGTAGGTCAAAAGTGATCCAGCATCTTTACTATGAAGATGTAAAAGCGGGGGTGGATCTGAGATGGATAAGGAGGTAAATATTCAAAGGACTTTGTGAGTGATGAGTTGAAGGTGTGGAGGAGTGGTGAGTCAAGGATGATGCCCAGATGTCTGCCTTAGAAAGCTGTAGGTGGGTGGATGGTGGTGTTTTCCTCTGAATGTGGAATACTAAAGGAGCAGGTTTAGGCAGGAAGAGGAGAAGATGAGTTTGAGGTGAGTGGGAGACATCCAGGTGAGATGTCTAGTAGGTGATTTGGAGCTTACCTTGGGGGAATGCCTTAATATATGGGAATAACTGATTCATGGCCAAAGAAGTAACTAGGGGAACTATTATTCTGAACCGAATTCAACCCAAAAGACAGAGCCTGAGAACTTGTCATCCTTGAGAGAACTGATCTGAAGAAACTCTTAAGTTATCATGTTATCAACATATACATCATAATTGAAGCCATGGGAATGGATGAATTCCTTAATAGAGAGGGTCAAAGAGAAGACCAAACTCCCTTGGGAAATACCAACATTTATGGGACAGGTAGAGGAAGAGGGGCTTAAAAGGAAAAGTGAGAGAATAGTCAGAAAGATAGGAAGAGGAAACAGACATCTCTCATAACAATATGTTTATGGGTATATCTCCTAGGAAAAGGAAACTAAGGAGAAAATAAACAAGTGAGACTACATCAAAATAAAAAGCTTCTGCACAGCAAAAAAACAAAACAAACCATCAATAAAATGAAAAGGGAGCCCACTGTATGAGAGAATGTATTTGGCAATGATACATTTGATAAAGGGTTAATATCCAAAATATATAAGGAACTCATATAAATTAACAGAAGCAAGGCAAACAAGCCAATTAAAATGATGGGCAAAGGACCCAAATATGCACTTCTCCAAAATGGA